CTACTGATACTGTCTTTTCTTTATTCTTCTGTTTTTTTTTCTAAGTTTTATTTTGCTATCTAAGCAAAAAAAAAATGAAAAAAAAAGTAGAAGTTATTTGCAACGGTTACTGTTTACCTTTGATCTGTCCTTCTTTTTTAGGTGTCATCGTTCTGACATTAATTATTGGTTTAGTCAAATCACCCACAAAAAAAAAGTAAATAAATAAATAAAACTGAAAAAAGTACGTTAGCTGTTTGAAGTGTTGCTGTAACAGTTTTTTTGCTGACTGCTATAATTTGAGTGTTTTTTTTTCTTTTTTTTTTGCTTATCGTTAGACCAAAAAATTTACTTTTTGTATCAGATGTTTAAAATCAATTTTACATAGCTTTTTTTTGCATTTCTCAGTGATCATCAAAAGTGTTCCAAATTTTAATAGTTTTCAATCTGTATGATTATTTCAACATCCGTAGCTTCTAATTCCAGGTTACTTTTTATTTTGCACAATTTTTAATGAAATTAAAATCTAAAATAAAAATCTCTTTTTTTTTCTTCTTCAATTTTTATATGCACCTATACAGTTTGCTGCTATTGTACTGTTCCAGTTTTGTCTTCAAATCGTTTTTTATTTAGCTGTTCAAAATGATCGTGACGTTAATTTCAAGTACAGTCTAAAGCAGTATACAAAGCAACAGTCTAGATGTTCATCAAAGGTTCAGGTATTATTTTTTCATTGTTCAATTCAGAAGTTTTAGACATTTGAACTGCTGCTCTATTAAACAATTTCTCTACTCCTTTTTCAATTATTTTTTGTTATTGTTTATGTTAAATATTGATTATCGGCTACTGAAAATGCCATAATAAAAGAAAAAGTTTTCTATTTTTAGACAATTATATCGTCATTTAATATTGGTACGTCTGCAGAAGAATCCATTAACACCAAATACGTCAGCGGAAGTGACAAATTTTTGGTAATTTATTTTTGCAAGAAAAGAGAAAGAAATAAGCAGCAGCAAAAACAGCAGCTTTCTTTCTATCAATTATCCCTCTTAAGAAATTTATGAAAAAAGATACGTAAAACTTTGAAAAAAAAAAAGCAGTACATGTATTAATCTTCTTATTCCACCAAGAATGATATATTAATTAATGTTAAGTATAAGTGCATCTTTTAGTTTCTTTTTTTTTTGAATAAAATCTTTATTTTATTGGTAAAAGACAAAATTAAGAGATTTATTAAATTATTTCTTTTTTTTTACAGGAACTTTTCGATGAAGATTTGATACCATTTATGTTACAAAGAATTGACGCTGAGGTTAGCAGTTAAATAAAACAAATAGTTATAACAATATGTCTGATATTATTCTTATATTAAACAGTTGAAGTTTTGTTGAATAAAATTAACAGCTATTTATGGCAATATATATGTGCGATTGGTGTTGTTGCATGAGATTCAGATTTGGAAACTGTCACAAACCGACGATTTAGAACCGGAGCTAAGAAGTTCACCAAATGCTGTAGATTTTGAGATTGCATTTCGACGACCAACATTAGTGTCTAGACGATATCCGGTAACTGTTAACCATTCTTACACCTCTTCAACATACTGTTGAAATCAATCAGTATTCTGTTAATTATCTAGCTCAGTTAAGTTTCTTATGACGTGATAGAGTAGAACAATTGATTGCTATAAATAAATTGATAAAAATTTCTCTCATTTATCAAATTTTAATTGGCAATCACTTATGTTATCAGTTTTAGTGCGGTCTAATTTATTCTAATCAAAAACTAATTTTCTGAGCTAAAATACGCAGAGCACTGACTGAACAAATAACTATTTCTTAGAACCTAGAGTTCTATATGTAGCTGTGAAAATGCTGTTCAAAATTATAAAACTTGTTTGCTTTTTTCACCATTTAGAAAATTTTGTAAAAAAAGTTTCAAGTTATTGTCAATAATTTTCAGTGAAATATTTGTTCATATCTGTTAAAAAAACCAAGTGCAACAACAACATTCAAGTAAATAGTTTTCGGAAATCTTGGCTTAATTTAGTTACTGATACTAACTTTAAGCTTTACCGATACTCTTTACCACTAATAATAATCCTTTAGCAGATAATAGTAACACAAATTATTATTTCGTTTAATTATATGTTCTTCAATAAGCCTATTAGTTTATGACTGTCAGCATTATTGATATTCAATACGAAGAAGAAGCAACAAAATACCCTCCAAAAAAAGAGGAGTAAATGAGAGCAGAAAGAAAGTCTTATCAATATTCAACCAAGAAAACAAAAAAAAAGATATGACTAGAAATATAAAAATTAATTAGATTTTACTGAAAAGTAATGTTTCAATTACAAAACTTTTTTGCTTTCTAGTTATCGTATATTTTGATTGAGAGAAAAAACTGCATCAATATTTGAAGTAAATGTAGCTTAAGTTTCTATCTACTTTTATACTAAACTAATTTAGTTTTTTTTTCTCTTTTTCTTTTTTTTTTTAACTTTCTTAATGAGATTGTCGTTAAAATTAAATTGGTTACTTTTATTTGAGCGATAAACAGAGATCAGTTTACGTATAGTTTACCATCACAGACCCATTCGCAATATTGAGGTGTGAACACAGTATCAATTAAACGGTAAACTATGTAACTTAGCAGCAGCTTACTGCTCAACTGTCAACTGCTATGTAACCTCAGTTGTTCAAATTCAGTAGAAGAAAACAAAAAATTTAGTGTACAGAAACTGTAAAAAAAAAGTAGTGTTCGTTGTTTACAGATTCAATTTGGAACAACTGAACTTGCACAATTGAACGACATATCTGACGACTGGCGTCGACATCTTGTTTTTTATCTTGATTTCCTGCACAGGCTTGATGATTTCAAACTACTCTGTGAAGAAGACCAGGTTTCTTATGCCCAATTCAAGATTGCAAAATATTCTTAATCAAAAAAATTTTTATCAAAATATTCTACTGCGAACAGTCAAAAGTTGAAGGTTCAAGAAATTACTGAAGTTGCAAAACCAGCATAACTATAAATGTTTACGTTAAATTTCAGTAGTTTTCACTATCGTTTTTTATATCATCTGGCAAAAAAACAAAAAAAAATTGTTGCTGCATCTACACTTTTGGATTTATAATAATGATTTGTATAAAATATAGATAAATTTAATTGTAGAAACAAAATTAATTTGTTGACTATCTTTTTAGCCTGATTATTGTTAAATTAATAAAAAAAAATTTTTGCTGTATACTTTTGATGAGGTCAAATATCAAAAAAATATAAATATAAAAACAAGTGTAAATAAATAAATAAATAAACATAAATAATAAATATATATATATATATATATATATATATATATATATAAAAATTAAGATTATTAAGTCTGTCATTAGTTTATTAATTTTTTTTTCTTTTTTTACTTTTTGTTTTTTTATACTTATGCAGCAATTATTTAAAAAACACTAAACATACATAAGCTTATTAGTGCACTTTTTTTACACAGTTTAACAAAAACTTTATCTAGTCAATTTTGCTTGTTATAAATTTTCAAATACTTTTTTATTTATCTTCAGTTTACAACTTTGCTTACTCAAAGCTCTATTCGTACAGTTTTTTAAGTTTTTTTGTCTTAACTGCTTTCTTTTTTTCAAAAGAAATTATGTCAAATTCTTTACAAAACTAAGGTTCCTCAGTGGTAGTAAGAAGGTTCCACATAGCATACTGATCGCATTCAAACATCTTCAGCAAAAAAAAAAAAAACCTACTATCAGTTTTGATTTTTTTCTTTTGTCTTTATTAATGACACTTTTTTTTGCATACAAATTAGCAAGGATAACTTTTTAATAGAAAATTTTTTAAAGATTTTTGTGGCTCGTTCTCAGATAGTTCAGCACGGATGGTTGATGCATGCATATTATACAATGATAAATAATGTTGTTGGCTTATCCTACGTCAACAATCGTTACCATCCACGAGATGGTATTATCAAAGGTGACTCAAGGTGAATAATGATTTATTGTAAACACTTTGAACATTTTAAAATATGTAAGATAAATTTGAGTTTAAAAAAAAAACCAAGAAAAGGAATTTTTATTAACTAAATGTAGCATTTTACTGAATAATGATTTATTGTAAACACTTTGAACATTTTAAGATTTATAAAATAAATTTGAGTCAAAAAAAAAAAAACAAGAAAAGGAATTTTTATTAACTAAATGTAGCATTTTATTTTCTGAATACAACTGTACAACGTTTCAGCTAATTTCAGGTACTATACAGATAAACAAATAAACTTTCTTCTTCTTCTTTTTAGCAAATAAACATTTCACCATCATTTTGCAGAATTGACAAACTTTATGGTGAATGTGTAGATAAAATGCTGTTGACTGTGGTAACACCGATGAAAGAGTTACAGATGGATAAAACTGAATACCTAATTCTTAAAGCTATCATTATTTTTTCTGAAGGTA